CAATTACCCATAGAAGAATGTTAATTAAACGGAAAAAAAATTTAAGCAGAAAGGAAAACCTGTAAATAGATCAAGGTCTCATTTTTGATCTCTAGTCATGTCCTTCAGTCAAGACCAATGGGGTACCATGCTCTGACCCCAGAGTCTGTCCTTTGTGCTCCCTCGGGGGCTCTCTGCTCTGCTCCCATGGTTGCTTTGCCGCACACTTTTTGTGGTTTGCCTCAGTGTCTCAGGGTCAGTCTGGGCCAGTCCCAACACCGAGTCTCCAGTGTTGTCCCCCTTAGAGCCCGGGGCCATCAAGGGATGGCGTGTCTCGTGGTGGGATTAGCCATATTTTCCACTCTGTCCACAGGCTGTTCTGAGCGGTGATGTTGTCCTACAGGCCTGGTGGGTCAGGATGTGCTCCACTCTCTCTTCCTCCCCCTAAATGCTCCCATTTGCTCTGATCAGACATGCCCCTCTCCCCTATCTGCAGCTTCATTGCTGTCCTCTGAAGTAGCTTCCTCTGGGGGGAGGGGCTGTTTTCCACATAGCTGGAATGGGGGCCGAGGCCTCAGGCCCTCCTCCATCACTTTCTTTACCACATTTGCTTATGCACCCGCTTTGTCTTTAGCAGTTATGTCGGGAAGGTGAACATCATAGAATGCCAATTTAATAGAAGAAAGTATTCCTGCATTCAGGGAGCACTTGAGTGGAGACCCAATGTCCTTCTGCTACCTTAGTACTAAACCTATAAATATATGCACATAGATCTATTTCCCATCCTCCTATATAAATATAATTGCACATGTACATGTCTTTATCTAGACCTCTATAAATGCCCTTTGCCTCCCAGCTCTTTCCTCTATTTCCTTTGACTTTCCTACTGTCCCACTACCATGCTCAGTCCCCACCAGGGTTTCAGCAATTCCTCTTGGTTACATTCCCCTTGATCATGCCCTACCAGGCCCCCCACACCCACCTCACCACCGATTTAGATCACTTGTTGTTCCCGTGTCCCTGAGTTTGTTAACATCACTACCTTACCCCCCTCCCCCCCTCCCCCTCTCCCATGTCCCCCTGGAACTGTCAGTCCCGTTGTTTTCTCCTCCAATTGTTCATCCAGCCTATCTTACTCTTGCAGCTCATTTTCTTAAAGATACCTGCATTAACTATGTTTTATATACGAAACTCAGCCATAGTTCAAGTATGCTAACTACTGTTCACCTTTTCCTTTTAGTACAATGATCAGACTCCTTGGAATTATGGACAGTATTGTTCTCCTCCTTTAAGCTGATGGGAAGATGTGCCTTTCAGAGGGCGTGTATGGAAAGTATGACAAGTGTTGTTGGTTTGTTTTTAATGAGGGATGTGAATATAACTTGCCATATTTGATAACTGGTCTTCCCTGTTTCTTTGTAATGATTTGTTTAGTAATAGGGAAAATGTCACTTAGTAGGTGACCACAAACAGTATTTCCTACCATTTAGAAAACTTTACTTTTTATTGAAGAACTATTTTTACATTTTTTTGCATTAAGTGGTCTAGCATAATTTTGAGTGCATTTGCAGTGGAGTTTTGTAGCCTTAAAGGTAGGAACATAAAGCTGATTTGCAAATCACGTCAGTCTAGTAAGACCCTGAAAACATATGAGGGCTGCTTTTAAGGATTTACTTCCTCTCCAAAAACAAAACCTGAATCTTAACCTTTGATGTCAATCGATTTTCAGTAAAAGTATACTTGCATTGATTTGGATCTAATTGCAGAAAATGTACACTATTAAAAAACATGACTTGGAATATAGATTAAAAATGAGAAAATGGAATGCTTGCATCCCTTAGAAAACAAAAAAACATATTGAAAATACATTGCTGTTTCAGGAGACTTTCTATTTAGCATATTAGTGTAAAACTTGTAAGCAAGCTTTCATTTTGATCAAAGTGATTGTGTTAGTCTGGGTAGACTAGAGAAACAAAATTCATAGACATTCATATGTGTACAAGGGTTTTATATAAAGAATAATTATATATTGAGAAAACATCCTAGCCGTCCTGAAAAAGTCCATATGACCAATATTAGCCCCCATGTCAGACACCAATCTATAAATTCCTCTTCAGACTCACACAACACATGCAATGATGCCAAATGTAGGAAGATCACAGGCCAGTGGGTGGAAATTCTTGTGAATCCAGTGGTGGTGGAGGCAGCTTAGTGCTGGCAGGGGTCTCCACGTGGCTCCTTCACCTCCAGGGCTCTAGCGCAGCTCCCTGTGTCTTGTCAACAGGAATGTCTCGCAGGGAGGTGAAGCAGAGTGTGCCTGTATCCCACCTCCAGTGAGCTATTTATCTCCTCAGTGCCTCCAAATGAGGTCATCAATCAGTGACGTGATTGACAAGCTAAACTCCACCCCTTCACTCTTAATAGTCTCAAGTTGGCACCAGGTTATGTAACTACCACATTGATCATTTTCATTTTGATAATAAAAATGAAGAGTTATCTAGTAAATGTTTATGATTTTTTAGGAGATCACCTAATATTAATAAAGTTGCCATTATTATAGTTCATTTGAAGTCCACGTTTCTGAAATTCGGGCTATTAATGCCAAATCTCTTACTGCTAATCTTTCTATTCAAGCTGTAGCTATGCTTTAAAAAAATTTTTTTTAGCTATGCTTTTGTCTTCTCACTACATAGAAATAAACACTTTAAAGACTCAAAGATGCGCATCTACATGACAAATTCCCAATTCAGGGACTATTTTACAAGTTACTCTCTCATCTTATATGGATGTATGGTGCCTAGGTATGGCTAGCCTAATCAGAGCAGTTAGCATTTTAAGACTGAATGAATCGCTGTCAGATCAAAATAGTGGATAAGTTTGTATTGAGCCTTTTAGTTTACAACACAAATTACAAAGGACAATCAATTCTCTTTAACCAATATTTTACAGAGTTGTAGTAAAATACTTCAGATTTCAAGGACATGGAATGACACTTGTCCAAAATCAGGGATCAAGTAAACGGGATTTAACTTCTTAACTTCCTCCCTTAACAACAATATTCATCAGCTCTAATTCCTTACATTGTCTCTTCAAGGGCAGGTCTTTACTATCATTGTTGCTGTTGCCTTTAGACTGGAAGAGCTGCCATCTCAATCAATATCCACTCATTCTACTTTGCATTGGGTGGAATTTGGGCAACAGGCTGCCTTTTCTTTCCGTAAGTCCATTCTGGTCCAGTCTCTAGTTGAGTCTCCCTGCCTCATAGCCAAGAGTGCTTCAGCCCATTCTCTGATAACTTTGCCAATTCCAACCTTAAAACTTAAAGGCTTGCCATTTCTCTTCTTCTTGGCACTGGTTTGAATATTAGTATCAAGAACCAGCCCATCCTACAGTGTTCCTGTCTACCAACAATGAGCACCACCATCACCCTGTGGGGGAAAGTGGGTTTTATCTCCCTTTCTAAGGAGAGATTTTGTATATTTTGATGGACCTTCTTCCAGCGTCTCTTCAGACCTGTTTCCTTTGGGTGCATCATTAGGAACCTTCACATGGTTCACCTGCTCACATGCATGCTTTAGTTATGCATGCATGCATGCATGTTCTCAGTACCTTTGAAATGCTTAGTTTCAAAAAGGTGGTTGTACACTGTAACCTTGTTAGCTGTTTTAGTCTAATAGCTAAAATTTTTCTAATAGCTTGTGTTCTTCACAAAACGAGTCTGAGCCGTCATCCTGCAGAAACTTGACAAGGTCCTTCTTCGGCAGCTGCTCCACTGTTCAAGCCAGCTGTGAAACGGCTGGCACTATCATCACCACCCCACCCCCCACTTAGCATTTTGTCCATGGTTGAATTAGGTGCTGTTTTGAGTAGGTGCAGCAACAACAGGAAGCCAACGATAGATTTTATTGTGTAGGAAGTGTAAACATAAATGAAAGTAATAAAGAGAGCCAATGGTAGACTTCTAGAAGAAGTTTGAGAAACTAGGAGCAAGCTAGTGTGGAAGGAGTGCAGATGCAGGGTCAACAGCAGAGACACACTGGAGGAGAGAGCCGAGTATATTTATGGACTGAGGCAACCCAGGACATGGAGAGAGAGAAAGTGAAGGTATCAGAAACAGAAGGGTTGGTTGACCAAGGTCTAAGAGAAAACAGAGCAAGTATTTTGGCGAAAACAGTTGAAGGACAACAGTGAAAAAGGGGTCACATCTCATGCCCTGATCACAGAGGCCACACAGTGAGAAATTGGACTGGCACTGATAAATGTACAGATCTGGTACGGGTACATGTACAGGTGCTGATAAACACGGTGACATGCATGGAGGAAAGCCTGCGGGAGTGGAGCCTTTGGGATCAGCACCACCTAATACTTAGATAATGTCAAGTCTCTGAAGTGCGTACGGTCCCTTCTATCTCAGCCTCTTCCTGGTGCACATTCTGCCCACCCAACTGCTCATCCTTTTGCCTAACAACTGTGTGGGGGTGTAATTCCACTGATCGTTAATACAACAATGAACACCACCAGCTGCAGAGTTCAATAAATGAAAGTCAGAGCAATGCTAGTCAATGCCACGTACATACATTTCTAATCTATCCTTGCAGTGAGAGAGAAAGACTGGCTTGAAAAGAATGGAACCCAAGTTTAGAGAGCTTCTCAAAAACAACTCATGAAGCTGATTGTGTTGAAGCTCTTTCTTCTTCTTATTATTTCAATTAGAGCACACCAGACTTAATCCTCTAAGGTGACAGTATTCAGAGTGTTGGCCCAAGAGACCAGCTCATCCACTTCTTCTTCCCAGGGCTCGCCCAACTCTTCATTGTCTGACGATCTTTCTTCAAAGATTGTCGTAGTGGTGTTTGTTTTACTTTGTGGATCAGGAGAACCTTGATCTATGGCATGAGACATGAAAGACAGAAAATTAATAGACATAGCCAGAAAAATAGGAGAAAAAGAAGTGCATGTGGTTCTTGGAGTTTGTGTGGGGTGTTTGTTGCATGATGCTTTAGTGTAACTTGAGTGAATGCAAGCAACCTTTCCCAACTTTCCTGAGATCACATTTTACCATTAATTTCATTGGCCATAAATCATCCAATCTTTCCATTCGCCTCAATCTTTGTATGTATGTGTGTTTTGTTGGTTCATTTATCAATTTGTTTTGTTACTTCATAACAGAACAGACAGGGGCTTTAAAAAGCTATTGGAAAAAGAGAGCTAAAACCTAGTGGAGTGTTTCCATGAACCTTCTGCAGCTCCCCATGTGTTTTAAGGAAAGGTGTTCATGAGTTGATTGGGAAGTTGATTGATAGCTCCACGAGTGTGAGGAGGGAAATAATAGCAGAACTTCCTGGAATGAGTGTGAACAGACTTGGAAATCTGAGGAGCAATTTGCTAAACAGAGAGGAGCAAAGCAGGGAGGTACAAATCCTTTACGCAGAGGAAATAGTATTAGAGGCAATTAGACGACTCCTTCCAGAATGTATGATGTGCTAGGTGCAGGGCTGAGCAGTCTTGTGTATGACATTATTTCACTTAGAGCAAAGCTTCCCAATGGACAGATGTTATTATCCTCATTTTACAGATGAGGCAATTGAGGTGGGATAATTTGCATTAATTTAGATTAATAACCAGAACGCAAAAGCAAAAGCCTAGTGTTATTGAGTTGATTCCACCTCGCAGTGACCCTATAGGATAGTGTAGAATTATTTTGTAAGGTTTTTGAGGCTATTGTTAGGTAAAGAACAGTGAAACTGGAAAATTGTATTGAAAAACACCCTAAGAATAAGGCAGTAGTCAGCTGATAAACTAGTCAAACTTACTAATTCAAGGAGCCTGCAGTTAGAAAACTGTCTCCCATTTTGAGCATGCTTGGTAGGAGAAGAAATGGCCTATAGAAACTTTGTTGCCAATTATAATAATAAAGATCACACCCACTAACACCCCAAGAGTTAATCATTACCTAGAATATTGCTAGGACACTTCTAACCTGCCCAAACAAGAGAAAGGAAGGGATGGTCCCCAAACGTATTGGAAGTTCCCCCTCCCACCCAAACAATCATGAATATTCCTCTTCTTAGTAATCATCTATTTGTACAAGTAGAATAAATATCTCTGCACCGTACCATCCTGGGTCATTTCTATTGCACAGAGGATGATCCTGTCCTCCTCCAGAACGTACCTTTCCTTTGAAACAAATGCTTGCTAAGCGAGACAATGTGTTTGTGTCATACTCTTCTACCACAATTGGGCCACTGATTCGCTGATTCTTTGAAGAAAAGTGAAGTGGAAGGCCAAGGTCTTCTGGAGAAATAACATCATCAACCTTCATGGATGCATCCTGCCTCATCTCTACCACTTGTCTTTCAGATTGTCATGCTATGGTAGCTTGTGTGTTGTTATGATGCTGGAAGCGGTTGCACTGGTATTTCAAACGCCAGCAGAGTGACCCAAAGTGAATAGGTTTCAGTTGAACTTCCAGACTGAGAACAGATCATGAAGAAGGAATTGCTGTCCACTTCAGAAGAGGTAGCTGCTGAAAATCATATGCCTAGAATGGAAACATTGTCAGATACTGAAAGTCTAATGAATGGAAGCAGAACATTGCTAGAGATCGTGGCAGAGGGTGGGCACGTCGGGTAGGGAGGCACTGGAATTATGACTGAGGAGGAGATGCCTTTTCCAAGTAGAGTTGACCATGGCAACAAGAATGTGGGAGTCAAGTAATTGGGATCTTCATTTGCTGATGGGACACTATTTATTTATTTTGTAATTATATATTTATTTCTAATGACAAATAAATGAAATTTTGTCTTGAAGCATGGTACAGCCTGGATAACATTCTTTTTTTTTTTTTTTTTACAGTGGGTAAATCATACCTTTATTGCTGTGTGTGTGTGGTTTTTTTCCTAAATCATTTTATTAGAGGATCATACAACTCTTATCACAATACATACATACATCAATTGTGTAAAGCACATTTGTACATTCATTGCCCTCATCGTTCTCAAAACATTTGCTCTCCACCTCAGCCCCTG